CCCAAGAAACTTAACCCACATAAGTTCTACTTGGAGCTAACAACAACATACCCTATGTAATCCCGGGATTTGGGGACGGTAGAGTATACGCACACCTTACCCCTACTTCGTAGAGATTGTAGTTCAACTTGGAGCTAAATTTTGTGAAAAGAAAACTAACTTAAAAAGAGTAGGAAGACACCACAACAGGTATATACTGGATCTAGTTATTCTCACCAGTTACTTGCCTAGGGTAAAACTAGCATAACATTCACAGCATTAAGGATTTGAACTCAAAACTGCATAAACCAACTGCATTTCTATTCATGACATTCAACTATAAATATACAAGTAGCAAACCCATCTTAACAAGTATAAAGCTTCAATCTTTCTCTACAAAAAAAGCTATAAACCCTGATATCTAACACCAACAAACTACATAAAGGCAAAAAGAACATCAAAACAGCACCTGATCATGGCTCGACTCGTTATCCCTCTCCGCAATAGCTGAAGCAGCTGATTTAACTGTGGAAGCAACAGTAGAAGCACCAGATGACACAATCTTTGATAAAGCTCGAAACGAAGCCGGAAAAACACCATTTTTGCTCCTTCCTAACGCAACATTCCCACCTTCAAGAGGTGGTTTTTGCTCATCATTCCTCATTTTCTGATTCTTAAAACTCCTATTCTCTATTCTTCTGATCATAACCTTAGCTTTCTTCACACCTATATATCACTGTTCTTGATAACCCCTAGGTAGAAGAAAACGTTACATCTCACACCTGTCCATACCTTTTGCTTCCAACATCGCAAAAATCCAAAACCCAAAGCTGCATAAAACACACCGCTTCCTCTCCTTCCAAGTTACAACAGAATAGCAAAACAGTAATTGAACCCCAAATCTGTATTCTTCCAAAACTTCCACTATCAACACAACTACCAAACCCCACAAGTAAAAATCCAAACTTTAACTTCAAAACACAACAAATTTATCAAAAACCTCTTTTGTTGCAATCTTTATCTACCTGTACATCAAATTCATCAATCAAATAAACTTTGTTTTTGTTTATTTTTTACAAAGGGTATAAAGAATTCACAAAGAATATGTACAAATCTAGATCAAATGATTCTGAAAAAATTGAATCGTAAAGGGTTTTCAATACTTCAACAGAAAGAGAAATAGATTCCCAAATTAATTTTTTTAAAAATTAAAAACAAATTAAGCTAATAATAATAGTAATTTTTTCTGGAGAATGAAGAAATGATTTTTGAAGGATCGGATAATGAACAAAGATGATTGAAGAAATAATACGTCTCTCTTTCTCTCTCTATAAAATTTTACATATATATATACAGATTTACATATATTTTATTTTATTTACTAATAAATGCTATTTATTTATTTTAATTATTATATTTCCTTTTTTATTTGTTGTTCAACAGAAGGAACCTCCCTTCACGTTTCGTCCGTCGGTCTTTTCACCGCCGGTGGCCGCTGTAAACAGTAAAAAGTTAAACGTTTAGAAAAAGATAACGGAGACGGTGACTTGGGGAAAACGTAAATTTGCAGAAAGTCCTTCCATTTTCCTTGGTTTGACTTAGCTCAAGATAATATAAGTCATTGATTGAAGAGACAGTTCGATGTACTAAGATTTTATCATACAGAATTCAAAGAAAGAACAAATTACAAAGTTTATTGTATTAGCTTTATTCGATAGTTCGATAAAGAAATTATTTTCATAGCTTGAATTCGTGATATATTAGTCACATATTAGTTATATCAATGTTTTCCTTTCATTTAGTTGCCGCAGTGGCGGAGGCACCTTATTGTTAGGATTTTTCGGCAAAAAATTATATTATTTATGCATGATTTAAATAATTTTTTAGGTATATATAATAGATGTTGAATTCCTTTCGGCTATTTCATATGTCTATTTCTTCAGATTTTGAACCTCCTTATTGAAAATTTTGGCTTCGCCACTTACCACAATTATGAATATCAGTTTAAACATGAAGATGTTATTGCTTCTCTTCTTTCAATTTGTTTATTTTTTTAACTATTTAAAAAATAAAAGAAAAAAAATTACTTTTTACAACTTTTTGATTCATTTTTTTCACATGATGTGTTTAGATCATGAGGTTAAAAATACAAGCATATTTTTAGTTTAAGATTATTTATTCATTAAAATTATATATTAAATTAAAATAAAGAGATTAATTAACATTGAAGAGCATATTCTATTGTAATATTCATGATATTGACATTTTAATAGAATTGGAAAATGATTTAGAAAATTGGTAGTTAATATAAAAAGTAAAAAGATTAAAATAATATTTTAATATATTAAAGTGGACTGATAAAAATTATTTTATTTTAAATTAATATATTATAATAACACAATAATAAGACAAGAAAGGTAAATATTTACTAGCACCATCAAATAAATATCCTACCATCCTTAAGGAAAGTGATTGTCTTGAAAATAAATATCTTACCATCCTTGACCTTGAGGGAAAGCATTTTTACCCCGAAGTCATCCAAATTAATTACATAATGCCAATGACAATAAAACAAGAGAAGTAAATATATTTACACACACATTTAAAAGGCCATCGTTGTGATAGTAAGTATCTTTTCATTTATCATAAAAAAAATATTCTTATTCAATATGACGTTATTAGATTTTAAAATATATGTTAAACATAAAAAAAATATATATATAAAAGAAAAAATTTTTTATATATATATATATATATAATACCAATGATAATAAGATAAGTGAAGTAAATATATTTATTTTTGCCCTTAAAGGCGATGTTGTGATGCATGGTAAATATCTCTTTATTTAAAATAGAAATCACTTAAAATAACGTCATTACGTTTTAAAATAGATACCAAACATAGAATTAAAAACAGAAAACATACTCCTTCTAAATTAATTTTTAAAATGTATTTCGATTTAAAATAAATGTAAAACATAGGATTTAAAAAAAAAACATAGTCCTTCTAGATTAATATTTTACAATGTACTTTTTTTAATCATATATTAATATTAAAAGAAGTAACTTGTATTATTATTATTATTGGTATATTATTAAAATTTTCAAAATTAAATTTTAAAGTAATTTAATTTGGATCTGTAAATCTGTCATTTTTCCGGGTGCATGTGCCATAAAATTTCAATACTAATATATTCTAATGTAAAATCATCTTTTTGGTAAAATAAAAAAAATGTGTTACAAATAATGTGTAAGATCGGGATCTAGATTTAATACTCATAAGAATATGCTGGATTATTCCTAAATAAACCTTAAGTGGTAATTGGGATAAAGTTGGTAATTCAATAAAATATTGGTTATAGTATTTTGTATAAATCAGTACTCTAATTAGCAGGGTTGAACTTTTTGATAAAGAAAAATATTATGTTGGGAGTGTCGCTTCTAAAAAATTGATCGCGGGGATTTGAATTTAGTCAAATCTCAATGCAGATTTCAAACATAGAATAGCAAACCAAAAAAATAAAGTTATACTGCTACAACTACTCTACTTCTTTTTTGCATCGAATAAATTGGTGCAAACCAAAATAAATGATCTATTGGAGTATATTGTTAATCAATTGGATGAATATTGTTGAAATTTCAAACAAAGAGGGAGATTTAAGACTTTGTTCAAAGCAAAACTAATTTGACTCACACGTGGTTGTCAAATTATACAAGTAATTTGTATTAATTTAATGACTACATGTCTACACATCAACTCATAAAAAATGTAATAATTCCATTATATTTTATAGTCTAAATATATGCAAATATCAAATTGAGTTTTCTAGTACCCATGACCCAACTAACATAATTTATTTTTGTACCTAGTAATTAACTAGTTCCAATTTTCAACTATCAAAGACAATGCAATGGATTTTTACCCAAATTAGATATACTATGACTATTACTCATAATATATATATATATATATATATATATATATATATATATATATATATATATATATATTAAAATTATGCGAAAAGTATTACTATAAGTTACGATTCTTCTCATATTAATAGGGTGAAAAATGCATCTTAAAATATTGCTCTTAGCATGTAGTTTAACTATTGAGAAACGAAATATAATAAGTTTTTTATGACGGTCACGGATGAAGTATCTTGTCATAGTATATATTAACTATTTGGTATCTAAAATTACTAATTCAACTAGCTCATCACGTTGTATATACTTTATTTTATATATACACATTTTTTCCTGAAGCTAATAAATACACGTGCACCACATGTTTTCACGTGAATCTACTTCTATCTAGGACATTCATAATGTCAATGATATACAAAAGGGTGGACAAAAGGGCATGAAAAAATGTTTTTAGCAACATATACATGTCAATGCTCTATAAATTTCTAGTTTGAAATTAAGTATACGTAACATTTATTTCCATACGTCTTTGTAAACTTGTCTTATCCGTTTAGTTCAATCTTTAATGATGTAATATCAATTATTAGGTAATCATCTGATGATGTAAATTTTCAAAGAGTTCTCATCCAGATAAGTTACATATTTAATCGATCAATTGAAAATAATTACTCACTAATTAAGACATATAAAAAATATATATTGAGTATGTTATTTTTTGTGACTGATGTAGTTTTTGAGACTTTGACGGAGATTTCTAGTGTTTATATTCCCCCACAATTCTGGTTAATGTTATTAAATTTTGGTAAATGTTTGACAGGGATCAAAAATGTTAAATTTTGACAAACTTAAAGGACCAAACTGCTAACATAATACTTAAAAGAGGCTAATTAAGATTACAAACAAGATACACAAATTATTCTAAAATCCTAACTAAATTCGGAAAAAACACTATTCCTATACAAACTCGGAAACAAAATATTCCTATAAAAAGCCCAATAACCAAAATTAATCAATAGCTTTTAGGTTTAATGTTTTTGCGATTTTGAGTGATAATCAGAACAGATTGTGTTTAATTTGCAGTAACAAATCGAATAATGACAACTCGTCGAATAATGACAACTCTTGCTGATTCGTTCATGGCAGATTTGGAGGAATTAGACGAATTGTCCGGTAATACGCATGATGTTCATGGAAAGGCGTTCAATTACGATCTAGATAATGTTTCGATGCTGCAAAAGTCACGTAAATACGTTGATATAATGCAGAAAGTTGAAGATGCTATAATTTCAGCGAATAAAGGTGATGTTATTGTTGAAGAAGATGATCACGAATATAAGTTGATAGTAGATTGTAACGCATTATCTGTTGAAATTGAGGATGAAATTGCTATAATCCACAATTTTATTCGTGATAAGTATCGGTTGAAGTTTCCTGAGTTAGATTTACTTGTTAATAATCCAATTGATTATGCTAGGGTTGTTAAAAAAATTGGGAACGAAACGGATCTGACTCTTGTTGATTTGCAGGAATTGTTACCTTCAGCTATTATCATGGTTGTTTCTGTTACGGCGTCAACTACTAGTGGCAAGCCGTTGCCGGAGGATGTTTTACAGAGGACATTGGAAGCATGTGATAGAACCCTAGCTCTTGATTCGTCGAAGAAGAAGGTTGTTGATTTTGTTGAGAGTCGAATGAATGATATTGCTCCTAATCTGTCTGGTGTTGTTGGGAGTGCAGTTGCTGCGAAGCTTATGTGTTCTGCTGGTGGTTTATCGTTGTTGGCGAATATGCCTGCTGATAATGTGAGGAATCTAGGTGGTAAAAGGAAGAATTTAGCAGGGTTTTCCACAGCTAGTGCTTCGCGATTTTGTTATATTGAGGAAACAGATATATTTCAGAGTACACCTCCTTCGTTAAGGGTGAAAGTTTGTAGAATGCTGGCGAATAAAGCTATTCTAGCAGCACGTATGGACTTGAACAAAGCAGGAATATTCAATTTTAAGGAAGAGATTTGTAAAACGATAGAGAAATTGCAAGAGCTACCTCCTGCAAGGCTGCCAAAGCCTCTTCCAGTTCCTGATTTTAGGTCTAAGAAGCAGAGAGGTGGTATTCGGCATAGTAAGAGGAAAGATAGATATCAGGTTACAGACGCGCAGAAGCTGAGGAATAGGGTGAAGTTCGGGGTACCTGAAGAAAGCTCGTTAGGGGATGGATTAGGGGTGGGCTATGGTATGCTTGGTCAGACTGGAAGTGGCAAGTTGCGTGTATCAGCTCGTCAGAACAAGAAAATAGCGAAGATTTCCAAGGTGAAGAGTTATGGAAGCAGTGGTGCAGCAGCCATATCAGGCCTGATGAGTTCGAGTTTTGCCTTCACTCCAGTACAAGGGATTGAGCTATCGAATCCTCAGGCATATTCAGACGGAACTCAAAGCACCTATTTTTCTGAGACAGGAACATTTTCGAAGATTAAGAGACAAAAGTCCCTTTTTGGTGTTTGAGATTGCAAGCTCAATCATGTTTCATTTGGTAGACAATGTTGTTGACATTAGCCTATAACTAAAACTAGCAATGAGTTACTTTATAGCTTTATGTTTACTGTGAAATTACTGTTTTAACATCTAATACTACTGTTTTTCCAGTTTTATCTTCTCACGTTCAATCCGATTAAACACTATTTGATTCCTGACTTTGATTATTTGGCCAATTCAGAGATGTTCTATTAGATGTTGCTCTCTAGACTAAAAAAGTAGATTGACGAGTTTATCCCAGAGAGCAATGTTCCTTTGATTATGTGAGTATAGTATCGAAGCTGCAATCTTCAGGTTCATTATTAGCCTGATGAGGTGATCAATTTTCTTATACCGCATTTCCTCCTTTGATGTTATGTTGATGTGGATTCAAATCACTTGACCTATTTGATATCTTTCAGGAAAGGGTCTTACATATAGAGACATTGGTCTCTGATCCCGCCAATAGAAACAAAGAAAGGTCTCTTTTGCCTACGAGCATGTAAATGGTGATGATAGGGGTCCTAGTGGACATTTCTTTTCTTTTAATTGATGTTATATCAATTGTTACTGGTGCAAGTAAACATAAGGTAAAATGAGAAGGAAGACGATATTTGCTTTTGTAGATAGAAAATTACCACACACCACAATTATAAAAAAAACATACTTATCATATATGCATAGTTTAAATGAACTCGAGTTTATATACCATTGTTATCAAAGCAAGAAGTAAAGACTATAGACTATAGCTTTATAGTCTTGCAAGTTGCATCTACTAAGCTTTTTACAAGGTGATGTTCATCTTTGCGTCAAATTTTTAATAAATGTACAAAATTAATTTATTTTAATTAATTAAATTGACAATGAATTTGAATTAATCATTTAGTTTTCCTTAAATTCATATTCTGAAAGCTAATAACTTTAGACGGAAAGAATAATTTGAATTTTATAAAATGACAAATATATTTATCTAGACAACATATAAATAGGAACGGGAAGGAATAATACTACAGTCACGTCTCCTCCCTCCGAATCTCTATCGCATGTGATTCCTACGTGCCACCGACTCCTCCGTTCACTAATTCATATATCCATTTCTCCGTCTGAAGAGAGAGAGATCACATTCACACCACCAGGACGCCGCCGTCTTTTTCCGGTGCCGGTGAACTTCCCCGTTCTGTTAAAGGTGTGTTATATCTGGTGAGAGATGGAGTCGATACTGGCAAGAGCGTTGAAGTATACATTGAACTACTGGTTACCCGAGATCAGTTCAAATTGAAGGGACATACGGCGCAACTTTTCAATTTAGGTTGAATTTTTCTTCTAATTGATACTTATTCCCTTCCAATTTCGAGATTTAACATGTTTTAATTCTCAATTATATAACTTGTAGTTACTAAGTAGGCGTTTCGACATGTCATATATAAAATCATGACATTAAATTTCAAATTTTCTAAAAAACATGATTTGGAAATTTTAAATATAAAAATCGATGCACAAGTTTATATTTTGTAAAAAAAAAAAATACTAACCATTTATTTATTTATTTATTATGTAACTATTATTTCCACCAACATATATAAAATTTGTCATTATTCAAATTAATTTTTAATTTTCTATTTATATTCACCAAATTCATTATTTTGCAACAAATAGTCCTAAGTAACAATGTTGGTTCGCCTTATCAATCATATGATCGAGATATGCAAATTCAATGTGAAAGACTGTAGGTATTTTATGGGAGGATTATATTAAAAACTATGTTCAACTTTTTTTTTTTATTGAATTAGAGTTTGATAAATAAATATTGTATTTTATTAGAATAACTTAGTGATAGTATATTTGCTTTATTTTGTATTATTGTAGAGAGAAAATATATAAGATAACCAAATAAAACTTCAATTTATGATTTCAAATCATGCTATCCATGTGTAAAATTCGAGCTGGACAGAGAGAGTATGTTATTTGAAGGTTGTTGGTTAATTATAGAGCTGAAAAATTGGTGATTGATTTGTTTGGTAGATATAAATGGGGATGCTATGCATGCGTGCACGGGATTACCACGGAGATTGAATGTTACAACGGCAAAAGTTGGAAAATTGAAGATCATTGTTAGTGGTTTTTCGCTTTATTGATGTTTGAATTGCTAGATTCATAATTTACGGAATGAAAAATCAGAAATTTGATGTCTATTATGTTCTAATTGCCCTTTTTTTTTTGGTTTTTCAACTCAAGGTTCCGTCAGTATTCAATATGCAAACAGAGCCAATAGTTGTGCGAATTGATAGGCTCGATTTAGTTCTGGAAGAAAGAGATGATATTGATAGTCCCAGCAGGTATTAGAGAGGCTCAACATTGTTTGAAGTTTTTAGAATGAAAGTTTAAGCACATATTTGAAGATAAAATTTATGGCCAAGCTTGATTTGATTATTGTTATTCTCACTTGGTATTGTACTGCTTTCCATCAGTCCGGTGTCATCTGGTAGCTCCTCGAAGGGAAGTGGATATGGATTTGCTGACAAGGTGAGCAACATAATAGTATCAGCTCACTTGGTTTTTGATGTTATGTAAGAGTGTTTGAGTTAATAGATACTATTTAACTGATTTCTCTATGTACTACATTCATCACTACTCTTCTTATTTCATTTGTTTTTGTGTTTAAATGAAATAGATTAGGTTTGGGTGACCTTTCAGGATGAGTGATCTTGTATGTTGGTCTTTTATTGTTAGATTGCAGATGGCATGACCTTACAAGTCCATACGGTTAATCTTCTATTTAAGACTCACGGAGGTGCTCAACTCGTAGGAGAAGCAAGCGCTAGCTGGTAAGTGTTCAATACCTTCATTCCTAATTCTTTATAGTATATCCTATTTTTCCTGTTTCTTTTGCTTACGGGAACCAGTTCTGCACTCTCCACCTGTAGATGCTTACAAGTCTGTCAAATACATCAGACAAGTAGTTTTTGAACATCATTGATTGGTCGGTTGGGTCATCTAAACCTGAGAAATGGCGATATAACAATTTACCATTACTATTTGAATAATTTCCTTTTTACACCAATATATCACTTCACTCTATTTGACAACATTCAAACATTGAGTGCAAAATGGTAAGTCTATAGGCTCGAAACTTATAAATCACATTCTATTGTTTATGCTCAAATTCCCTTGCATCTTTTGGCAGGCTATTAGCAAAAACTTGTGAGCATTTTTATTTACCTGTTAAGGTTTGGTTTCAGACAGTCACGTGATTTGGTTTTCTCGCTCTCTTGTTTGATTATTTCACCAGGGCACCTATGGCATCAATACGCAATCTTCTTCTATATACTACAAATGAGAAATGGGAGGTAAGTTGCATTTATTTTAGATGAGATGACTTGTGTAGTTGTTGCTTAAGAATGACTCAAACAATATGCTAATGTACTAGGTTGTAAATCTAAAGGAAGCTAGGAATTACTCTAGAGGCAAGGAGAACATATATGTGTTCAAAGTAATTACATTTCCTTTTCTACTATTTAGAAAATTTCCCAATTTATTCTTCTCATGTTTGCATCATTGTGTGGTGTTGCATCATCTACTTTTCTTTTAATAACAGAAACTTAAGTGGGAACATCTATCTATTGACCTGTCACCTCATCCCGATATGTTTGTGGATGCAAAATTTGGAAGCTCTCAAGGGTGGAGTAACAAGAGAGATGAAGATGGAGAAAGATGAGTATTTTTTGGCGGGGAGAGATTCATTGAAGGATTATCTGGAGAGGCTGATGTAATTGAAATTGGTCTCACAATTTTCTTTCTATGATCATAGGTTATGATTTGAGGCATACAGACGATAGATATTAATGGATTTCTTGGATTCACATTGTTATCAGTTTACGATTCAGAGGACTGATCAGCTAAATGGTCCACTAGAGTTTAACGCTAAATTGCACATCACAGAAGGTGCTCGTTCAGGCATGTAGAAAAAATCATGCATTTTGTAGATCTTGTCATGTTTTGGTCTTTACAATCTGCTTATTACTATTTTGATTCTGCAGGATTACGAGCGCTTCTTCACTTCATGACAGGATTTTACCTCTATAAACAGAGGAGATGTTAAGCCAAATCAGCAAGTATGACTGACTCCATTGTCATTATTAACTTAATACTATACGAAAAATATTATAAGTTGTTGTTCTTCTCATAGCAAATTGATGAAAAATGGATCTTAAATGTTGGTATAAGTTCACTAGTTTAACTATTGAAAAGCGAAATATGATAAGTATTTTGTGACGGATAAAATTATTGTCATAATATATATTAACTAAATTTTGGTATCTAAAATCAATGGCTCGACTAGCTCATCACATTGTGTGTTAAACTCATTTTTGTATGTACATATTTTTTTTATGAAGTTAACAGGTGCACATGCATCCATTCTCGCACATGGGTCTACCTATGCTTCTAGGACATTATAATGCCAATGATATACAAAAGGGCATGAAAAAATGTTTTTAGCAACATATACTGTTATGGAAGCAGTGGTGCAGCAGCCACATCAGGCCTGATGAGTTCGAGTTTTGCCTTCACACCAGTACAAGGGATTGAGCTATCGAATCCTCAGGCATATTGGGGAGGAACTCAAAGCACCTATTTCTCTGAGACATGAACATATTCGATGATTAAGAGACAAAAGGCCCTTTTTGGTGTTTGAGATTGCAAGTTCAATCATGTTTCATTTGGTAGACAATGTTGTTGCATTAGCCTATAACTAAAACTAGCAATGAGTTACTTTATAGCTTTATGTTTACTGTGAAATACTGTTTTAACATCTAATAGTACTAGTTTTCCAGTTTTATCTTTTCACATTCAATCCGATCATAATGCTATTTGATTCCCGACTTTAGTTGTTTGGTCAATTTCGAGATGTTCTGTTAGCTTTCTAGCTTCAAAAAGAAACAGATTGATGAGTTTATCCCTGAGAGCAATGTTCCTTTGATTATGTGAGGATA